GGTGCCTCCTACCTCATGCCAAGTTCTCTGTGCACCCCCAGAGAAGATGGCAAAGCAGCTGAAGAATCACAGGGTTCCTTCATGAAGAAGCTTTCAAAGACTGCACATGGAACTTCTGTGAGAGGGAATTTGGAGCTAAAAAATGTGCAAACCAGCACAGGAAGTAGAAAAAAACAGTGGAGAAGAGCAGCAATGCATAAACATTTTAACCCAAATCTTTCCCTGTGACCTATGTAGAGAACAGATGTGGACAAGGATTGCTGTGAAAAGGTACCAGTATGACCACGAGAATTCACATTAACCCAAATGCATTTATAATTGATTTCAGGCTCTAAGTCCTGTAAAAATCTGCTCACATGAGTACTTGTATTCTTCTGCAAGCTATCTGATCAATTATAGCCCCAAATACCAAGCACTGATATCCCCCACTCACTGGAGGACTGAGAGTAATTCCTTCTGACTTCAGTAGCGTGGGAACAAGGTGTTTCTCCTGCTTCCTGATTTTAAACTTGTAACCTGTTTCACAGACACTACTGAATATAATAACATTTGTAGCCAGCTTAGTAAATGGTTCTCTGTATTTTAGCAGAATAACTATATCCAGCCTGCTATGCCTCACAGAGAAGGAAGATTGTAAGACATTTCAGTTAATTTAGTTATGTATTGCATTAACTGATGGTAACCTTGAAGAAAAATTAAGAATATCTGCAAAATAATCGTGTCTGAGGAAGAGGCTTCCTCTGAAATATTAATTTTCTTTTAACCAAGAAAAAAAATCCTTATCATATGAGCTGGACAGGTCCTTTCCTGTAGTTTTCAGACTCTGATGTTTTATTGACCAAACTCGTTGTTTTAGACTTGAGCTCATGTTCTCTGAGGAAGTACAAGTGGTAATTATGCAAGTCTTTCCTTCCCTGTCATGGGCAACATTCACAAGGGAGATTTACAACCTTCAGCTTTCAGATACGGAGCCTGGTTGTTTAACTTCAGAGAGAACAACTCTGACATGGTGAATGGCATCAGAACTGGAACAAATCCTCCAGAAACTGGCTACATGGACAGTCCTGGCAGTTAATAATTATGGTGGGGGGTTTTGCCTCTTCATTCTCCTGTAGTAACTCCAGCTACAAGATTGCTCAGAATTTAATTTTTTTTTAGAAAACAGACTCATAAAGAAAATGCATTTCACTCCTTTTGGCAACAGCAGACCTACCTTTAGCAATAGGAAAGTAACCAATGGACTGAATGATATTTATTAAATTGTAACAAATTCAAAGAGATAAGTGATCATAATGTAAAGACACCACAATGAATGATTGTGGTAAGAGTTAGTAGGAGTTGAGTGCTGGCTTAGATACAGAGTCAGGACAACCATAGACAAAATATACTGCAAATGAACTTCAGTAATGAGACTTAAGATCTATTTTCTTATCACAAAACATTCAAAAAGTCAGGCAGTCTGTTCATCTGACTTACATTTAGCTGGAATTTTGATATATAGAGGAAACAGTTTGGCTCCATGCTCCTGTAAATGTACACATTTGCTTCAGAAAGAAGAAAGTGGGTTACAATCAGAAATTTACTTTTAATCAACGGTCTTTCATTTCACTTTGGTAAAGTTTGGATTAGCCCCTTAATGCACACGCTTATCATGACTGACAACAGTCCTGCCTTCACACATTTGGGTGATCTAAGCCTGGAGAAGGTGCAGAGGGCAGGAGAGCTGCACAAGGAATACGGCCGGTCTGTAATGGCTGCATTTTTGTGACCCTTTGTGGATTGTAATAACGATCTTTTTATTAAAACAAAACAAAACTGCAAGAGCTTGGGGGCAGATTTGTGTTCTCTTTTGGCCTGTGTTAACCTCTAACCAAAATCTGGCCATTTAAAAAAAAAAAATGTACTTCAGCTGTTTTTCTTTATTTTTGGAAGTTTAAAATGAAATATAAAGCCCATAATAAAATGCATATGAGGACACAAGTCAATAGACTGAGAACTCTGTTAAGAACTATGCAACCATAGAGGTCTTCATTAACAAGGGTCTTCAACTCATGAAATTCAGAAAATGCTCTTATTCACTGGTATGCATGTTGTGTTTGTGTCATTATTTATTTCTATGGTAACTAAAACAGTAAAGACAGCAATATTAGACAGCAATAATAGTAATAAAAAAAGCAAACAACAAGAACAAGAACAGAAAAACCCCGAACCTCATTGCAAAAGGAGACAACTAAGAGCCAAAACAGAGGTGTTTAGATGATGGTGTAATTTGCTATAATAACTGCTTAACCACATATTTGGCAAGCCCTGGATAACTCACTTATGAGTAATGCATTTGTCCAAATTACATTCAAATAAAAAGTAGTTACCATGCTCCATTATCATGTGTTCTGCACAGATATTTCCTCCCTATCGATTTTCCCACGGCAAGAAGGCTTCTCACTGAACCCAGGTTGGCTGTGGATTGGTGCTGATTTCTCTTGTGCAGCCTCTGTGAAGCTGGTTAGGTGCTCTGGAGCCACATATCATCAGTCCACTGCTATCTGGAGCTATCTAACTTCCTTGTGCAGCCTCCCACTCGCCTCTTCCCTGTCTGCTCCATCTGCAGCCAGCTTGGCTGCTCTCCTCCAGCCCCAGCTCCCCGAGTGCACGGCAGCTGCAGCTGCCAGAACATCTGCTGTCTCCTGGCCTTGCTGGGGTGAGGACCAAAAGCATGGCCTTTTTAAAGTTGGACACTCGCATCCATTTGAAACTGGATGAGTTCAAAGTTCTCCTGCTTGTCCTGAGACTTGCAGCTTCCTGGGAATAGACAACTGTCTGTAACACAAATTCAAGTGCTTGTTTCAAAGGGATACAATGCACTGTCTTTAGGATGCACTGGCATTGTGCCTGCTCTTCCCCTGCATCTGTGGAGATTTGGGGTTACAATAGTCTCATTCTAAAAAAAGAGTCATTTTCAAGAGCAAAGAGTGGAAGGAGTGCAAACTCAAACGCAATTAGTCCTTGAATCTGCATCCATCAAGGGTGGGCTTCTACTGCACCAGTGCCTCCAGCCTCATGCAAAAGGTGAAACAATGTGCCCTGGGCTATTCCTGATGAAGGCAAAGGTTGCCTTTTGTTTAAAAAAGTGCATTTGGAAATGAGATATCTTATTTGAAAAATTACAAGCATGAAATAACATCATTGTAATCTCACAGAAGGAAAATCTGCACAGCAGCCCCTCATCAGCTGTACTTTTCATCTGTGGGTCAAATCATGCCCTGGCGACGTGCAGAGCTCCCACTGACTTCATAATGGGAAATGTATTACTTATTTAGAGCTGACTTGGCTTTATTTAGAGTGATTTAATACTTTGGTTATTAAAAGTTTTGTGGTTTGGAGATGGAATACAACAGGTGACACACACCCTTCTTTGCCACTCAGTTCTGTACTTTCTGACAGGTTTCTGCATGGGGCAGGACCCAGTGTGTGCTAGTTAGTGAGGCTCTTCCAGGAACAAATCCTGGGCCTTGAGCAGTGTCAACAACCTGGGATGCAGTAGGAGTTCAGCTTTCTCCAACTCGTGCTGGCACGGAGCTGTTTGGGACTCTCAAAATGTGTCTTAACTGATGTGTTGGCTTGAAATGCAAGCTGACACAGCTTCATCCCCTGAGCATCCCCCACTGCTTATACTTCTGCTTGCTCAAACCTGGATCTGCTCTGGCTCAGGTCTGGAGTGAACAAACAGCCTCTCTGAGGAGGAAACCTCAAGCTCAGAAGAGCCTGATCCTTAACAGGATCTCTCAGCTGGAGGAGCTCTTCACTGTATGAACTCAAACTCCAACATTAGTGGAGATGTTCCTGCATCCAGAGTTGCCCTCTGGGGAGCTCCCCACCTCTGCAGCACCTGCAGATACAAACATGCTGGTCCTGTCCCTCCCCTGGGCTCCTCACAACCACTTTTTACAGAGGAAAGATCCTTACTGAAAACCATCTTACAGAAAACAGGCTTTAAGGGCCTTTGACAGTTTCCCCAAATCCACTGTGGTCCTCTCCAGCTCCTCAGTAAGACATGTTGGCACATACTGTCCCTGTCACCAGGTGGGGAAGCAGGAGCTGCCTTTAAAGCAGGGAGTGATCAATACTGAACACAGAATAAAAAATGTGTCTCCAATGGGATGGGCAGCCCCCTGATACAGACAGCAAGAAAACACAGAACAAGCTGCTCCAAATAATTGTGCAGGTCTGGAAAGAAGACAGAAGCTACTGCTACTCAATTTGTACCATTGCAGCTCAAAGCTAAGTAGGCATAAATAGAATACACAATAAATGTATATTTAGCTGTAGTTAAAAGTGAAACTTAATATCCTATGTTAGTGCATAGTACTCTCTTACGAAGAAAACTAATTTATAGGTAAAGAAACGGAGCTTAAAACTAAGAGACTGTGTTTTTAAATAAGTTAAGTAAAATGCGTACTTACTTACCTTTTATTCTCCTGCTGTGTGTGCCCTGAGCTGGTCCAGGGAGTTCTATGAGGTAAGAAATTCCTGGTCAACAAAAGTTCCTTTTCTAAAAAAAGTGAACATAATGGAAATGGGGAACCACTTACCGGGCAGCTGAAAAAGGAGCTGACTGTGCAGAGAATTTCACACCTTATGGCTTTTGGTCAGTAAAGTACATAAACAAAATGTAATTTTCTATGCAATTACACGGGGTCACACAAGAATATTATGTTTTAGAAACCCACTCAAAAGCATATTGCTCTCTAAGAGCCCAATCCAGAAAATGGTTCCTCACTTTAGTAAAGTTGCTCGTAAGCATTTCTGGGAGTGGGGCCTACGAGACATTTTCCTTTTCATGCTTTCTTAAACAGTTTATGTGATAGTAACAACAGGAAGATAAATTACTTTGAATGGTAGCAATTAGAGAAATAAGGAGTGTGATAGATTTACCATGTGGAAAACATCTCTCACACATTTTCCTACAGTCATTAAACCTGCTTTTAATGACACAACACTGATTTCAGAAAGAAACAAAGTTTATTTGATGAAAATAAACAAGCTGATCAACACTAAATACTTCCCATACACATGATAACAATGTTATGAACTCTAAATACCTTGGTACTTTACACTTCTACAAGACATTAAATTACAATGACTGTCTAATACATGCCCCACTGGTAATTTCTAGGAATTCCTTAGTTTCATATCAATGTCCTTAACCATATATCAATATCACAATCCAGAACATGCCACTCACTTGAAAAAATTATTACAAGAAGCACTATCAAATGAGGATCTAAGGTAAATAGGGGATACTGACCCATTGCTGCGGAACGTCACATTCAAACGTCACCCTACACACACAAAAAGAAACTTTGCGGATATAGTTTGTGTCAACACATCTGAGGTCTTTTCATAAACACTGTTTAAAAAGTAAATTGAAACCCACTTTCAAATGAAAGTCAATGTGCAGGTACGTGCATACTGGATACACAAAATTCATTAAATACAAAATTCATACTGTACATTTAAATGAAAGAAAGGATGTGCAGTACAAGACTGATCTCACGTTAAAATAATAACCATTATCTTAAATGTTAAGCAAAAGTTGGTTTGCTTCATTACACTCAGAGGGGAGGGGGGAAATCTACCAAACATTGCTCAAATAAAATATTTCCCAACATCACAGTGTTTATTGTAAACCCCGAGATTCTGTTTTAGGATATGAAAAGATTTTCTCCAAACATCATAGAATATCACATGAAATGAAAAGAAGGAGGAAAAAAACCCAAAAACCCCAAAGCAAGAAAGAAAAAAAATCAATGTTAGACAAAATTTTCCTCTTTAGGGGCTAACTTTTAGGCCCTGATAAAAGTTTAGATCAATACTCATACCAACATGAACGGAGCAAAAATGCCCCTAAAATAATAGCTGTGACAAAATTGGCACATACATATAAATATCTAACTATACAGCTTTGTGACCCTATTTCCCCCCTAGTTTATATCCTACTTCAAGTATTCGGTTGCAGAGTTAAGGTAAAGACCTGATTGTAAGAGACACAGACGATTGTCCCCTACTGCGACAACAAATTTGTCATGAGAAACCAGTTTTGTTGTCTGAGTTTCCAAGTGCAACATTTGTCATATGTGCTAAATATACTCCCAAAAGCTTTGCTGTTTCAAAAACAAAGATCTAAAATGCCATTGATAGTTAAAGGACAAACTTTTTAAACATGAATGAAATTGGGATTATCTACACTACGCTAATTCTATACATTTTATTCTATTTACTGAAGACAGTAACATCCAGCAGGACTCCTGCTCAAATAAATTGCTCTTTGATTGCACCGAGAATCATGGTACAAATAAATAAAACATCATCTCTAGACAATAATTTTAAGGGGATTGCTATGTATGGCTCATGTAGGATGTTAAGGGTTAATCGCACCACAGGTTCAAAAAATAATTTTTCTAAATTCAGTGCAAGACTTTAGGAGTATCCATTTAGATTTCTTTTTTTTTTTTTCTTTTTCTTTTTTTTTTTTTTTTTTTTAACAGCAGCAAAGAAAAACTACTAAGGATTAAGGCCACCCATGCTTAAATTTATTGTTTGTCCTTTAAAAATGCAGATATTCTATTTCCACTGCCATCAGCATGGAAGAATTTCTTCCTTCCATGGACAAAAAGATGCCTCAACAAAACAGCCAAACACTTGCACATGTTTGCCAGACTGACTGAAAATGTTTGTGGAGTCAGAAGGAACCTCTCCTTGGGAAGTGGCAGAGATCTGACTGTCACTTAAGAGTCTCTCATTGAATGTGACGACGTCACATTTTTATTTTTCCTTGCATGTGCTTTAAATTTATTTTACTAGACACATTTTGTTGACACAAACAGCCTTCAAGTGCTGTTTGTTCATTGGTATTTTCTTTAACATCTAAGATTCATTGGGGTCTGTGTCGGAGACTGTTTTTCAGTGTAGAGAACAATAACAAACAGTTCCACATTTACAGGAGACCTAGTGCATATACTGTATTCACAGCAATATTATCTTTATTTTTCTTTTTGTTTGTTTCTTTAAGAGTCCCAGCTTTTATTGTTGAAAACATGTATGCATTTGGATGGTAAAAGGTTGATACATCCTTGTGTACGTGTCCATATATATATATACACATATGTATTTATATACACCTCAAGCTTTTACCATCCAGGAATAGATACATCTTGTATATAATCATATATTTATGTTCAAATTAGATGTCCTATACATTGTCAGAGACACACACCATATTTTCATAAAACTAAGCTTTGTCATCAGTTATTAGTACCAAAAATTGATTTCATTTCCAACCTGGCCCAGAGCTTAATACCGGTTATAGTATCAATATTTGGTTTTGGTTTGGTTTTAATTTTTATTATTTTATCAGTAGATAAAAGAAAACAGAGGAGGGTAAAGGCTTGTTTTTGTTTTTTGGAAAAGCCTGTATCTAACTGGGGGTAAAGTTAATGCCAACACCCTTATATAGCATTTTACTAATACCTCTTTGATAATCTAGTGCAATAGAAGTGATACTTTAGAATAGACTAGGTAAAATCAGCAAATGCAGATATCACATCTAAGGGAATCTGAATTACCTATTAAAATCAATATTCATTTACCAAAAATTAGCTAAATAACCTGTTTAACTGAACTTCATGAAACAACTATATTCTGAACAGATGGTTTCTTTGTAAAAACAGAGTAACTCACAAGACCCATTAAAGACAGAAATGAAGCTCTTATAATTTCTGCTTGAGTCTCCTTCATTATTTTCCAAAGTATCTAATTTCACAATAGACTACAAGAAATAATGGAGAAAATGCTAATTAATGCAGCATTTCATTAGATATCAACCTTAGCATTCATTTTCTGCATCTGTGATCTTCTCCAGGATATCATGGTCATGTTTGGAGATCCAATGCAATAGATTATCATTGTTACCTTCCAGTGCTACAGTTTTTTCTTCCTTTTTCACTAGTTCCTCTGACAACTGCAACAAGGGAAAAAAATATTCCAATTACCAACATGACTGAAACATCCAGAACATCTTAGTTCTCATCTAATCAAGATTCTCATACATATGAGTGGAGATAATGCTTTTCTAGGGGCTGAGGATTAAGTAAGGCATGTAAATTCAATTTCAACTCACGTTCACAGGGTGGCAATTAGTTTTATTGGTGATTTGTATGACGACTCCCCCTAAATGGGAAATATTTTAAATTCCTAAGATGTCAAATTCTGTTGTGCTTGGGATTCTGTAAACAGTGAGTTTTCTGATCTTGTTTATAAGCACAGTAACTTTGAAAGGGAAATGCTATGAATAAAATTAAATATTTTTCTGTGGGAACCAAGGGAATAATTCATTTATTTCCACTCAGTTCTGTGGCAGGTGGGAATGTGCAGTACCTCTGCCAGCCTTCCAAAATTGAAGCACCATTTTCCTGTCATATTTTAAGCACTTTAAGTTCACTTTAATTTGCAGAACAGTGAAGAAAGGTTTTATGGATACTAGAAGCTCAGATTTGCAGAAGTTAGAACACAGGGCAATGTGTTTGGAGGTTTTCAGCCACACACCCACTGATCACAGGTGCTCTGCCTGGCTTGGCTGGCACTGCTGAAACCCTGGGGACTGCGAGAGGGAGCTGGTGTCAGCACAGCTCAGCCAGTGGGAAGAATCCTCCTGCTTCCCACCGATTTTGGATGAGACTCTGTCTGATTATGACTACAGAGAGAGGCCTCAGTGATTTTTATTGTTACTTTAGTTGTGCTGAAAGAAAACAACACAGTATTCTTGAACAGACAGCAGTGAATTGGTCTTATTCACATTATCTATATATCAGATGAGTGGGAGGAATTAAATGATTCCTTTAGAGGGCAGCTGTTCATTTATCCACTGACTTTGTTTCTAGAAAATTTGAAATGCATTATGTATGGGATTCTCCATTATTGCCCTTCCATTTATGTAACCTTAAAAGTTTCCAAAACATCTCATTTTATGAAAACAATTTGCCATACAATGCTTAGGGTTTTGTATACAGCGGAAAAGTTGTTATGTTTTTCAAATAGTACTATTTGACTAAAATCATACAAATGTAGATGAATAGTTCTACTTTTGCAGTGAGAGGTTGGTACAGTTCTTCTGGTTAAAACACTTAGGGACTAATCCAAAGCCCACTGAAACGTGGAAAGGTTCCCACCGATTTTAACAAGTTTTGGATCTGGCCCTTGAACAGCCTAAAAATGACTTCTGCAGAGCTGGAAAGCCAGGGAGTTCCTAAAGTAGATCATGTTACTAGTTCTGGCACATAAAATCGTTGCAAACTTTTTATGAAAACTGTAAGTCAGCGCATGCATTACGTTTGGTGAACTGTGCATAGCTCCCATTCTTTTGTGTGCCGAGATTTTCTTAATCATCATTCAAAGAGATACTTGGGCAGAGGAAGCACACCTATAAATTAATGGGGAGAGCACATCCCAGAAACTGCAGCACAATAATGCCTAGGTTTTTTAAACCAAAACATAATCACAGCAAATCTTCAATGCAGTTGCTGTTTTACAAGCTGAAGTTCCTCTGCAATTAACACTTTTATGCTCGGAAAAAATAAGAACCCAGAATAAAGTGTCCAATCTGAGAAACAGCAGCAAAGCACAAAATGCACTCCCTCCCCAGCCTGTTCCTCAGATTTTCATTGGGGTTTTACTACAGAATGAAAGCCCCCAAATAAACCTCACCCACTTAATCAACCCACCCATTCATCAGGAAGCCATATATGTATTGGAAGTGTAACAAAAACTTGTTCACCACAGATAGGAAATGCAAAGTATTTCTCCAGTAAGTCAAATAAATATATGAAAGGATATTGCTGTCAAATACCAACTGAGGTTGAGTAAATTAAATTTATATTTGTTTCTTCAATGCTGTACTTGGGAAAAGTCACTGAACCTCTAAAACAGAAATAAAGTTTGGTAACATGCATTGGACCTGAATTCAGCAGTGCTTCAGCTGAAATTAATGTCTTAGGAGTCTGGCAATTCTGTCAGTCCATTAGATACCAGTCAATGAAAACAGCAGAAGGATGTGAAGATATAAAAGTGTAGTAGCCCACAAACATTTGTTCAGATTGTTTTTCCTTTGGATAAAGACACCTGCCTGATTAGTACATTTTCCCTCCAATCCTTTCCTCTCAGCAGTGATTTGCAGAAACAAGCTGGAGAGGGTGGGTAAACACAAAGGGGTTAAAGGGGAAACTGTTTAATAACAGTAGTAAAATGCAGGCTATTTTTGACATCTGGGTTAATGTCCATTATGCTCCATATGCTTTCCAAATGTTTGCAACAAGCACCCAGATACAAAAACAGATACTCATTCACATAGGCTTAAATTGCCCTCTCCTAACCTGTTACACATGGTACCTACATAAAAGGCCAACAACTGATATGGTAATTAGTGAGTAAGAAAGAGAGGGAGTAGACACTTTATGGCAGGGAGCTGGTATCTGACCAAATGTTAGTAGAGAAGGATATCATTAATGAAAACCTGTGAGGGCTATTTCTGCTCCCTAATCTACGACAAGACCTCTGCACTATAATGTGACATCCTTGGAAAAGCTGTCAGGATGAGTTCCTCAGTTTCCTTCTCCAGACTCATTCATCATTACTGCAATCAGAGTACTAACAAATGATAGGAAATTATTTCATTTTCTGGAAACAAGTAACTAGACTGCAGTAAGGCTATAACTCATAAACTCTTTCTCAAGTGATGTCCCGGGATTTGCCTGTGCCTCTTGCAACAACATAATGTAAATTATAGGAAGGAGAAAAAAAAAGCATTCTCAATCTTTACCTTTGTGCAAAACCATGAAAAGGATGACTCTATTAACTAAGACAAAGCCCTGACACTCTAAATTCTGTCCCTGTCACCAGCCTGTTGTGGGACTAAGGAAAAAGTCATTTTTCTGTCCTTAACTTGCTCTTTGCTACAGCAGGCATAACATCAGCCTCCTCACAGGAATTTGCAAGGCTTAGTGTTTGTAATGTGCCTTAAGAGTCTTGGATGAGTGCTAAGTATTATTATTTTTCAGTTCCTGCATTTGATTAAAACTGAAATAACACAGTAAAAATTAAATTAATATATTAAGTTACAAGTAAAGAGCAAGCATGTGGTTTGTGGAGCTACTTGTAACACTGTTAATACGAACATGTACTACAGACTAGGTGATTCCCAAGGTCTGTACTGACATGTACCAGGTGGGCATAACTTGACAACTGAAAAACCCCCCAGAAGTTTGATTCAGCCAAAAATCTGTTCATGGCTTCTGTGTGAGCTCAGAGCCTGGGCCAGCAGGAGCACGGTGGGATGCTTTCCCTGCCCCTCAAGTGCAGTTGTGAACACCATCACAGCCCAGATATTTGCAATTCAGCACAAGCAACAAAATTGGGTAGCACAGATCTGCTGGAGTGCTCGCCACTCCATAGGTCCCTTAACACAGGATGTGACAATGGCATGATGTGTGCTGTTTGAACCTCCCTGTCATTACAGCCCCGACAATAAATACTGTTTTTGCTACTTCCTCCTGGCCTACCTCTTGAGGAAAGAAAGAAAACCCACCTCTCACTTTCTAAAGAATACAGTAACCTGTTGAAGCCTGTTATATCAACACGGAAATCTCTAGTGAGGAGGGCCAAGAAGAAAAATAATTAAGGCATAAATTTGTATCCAACCTACGTAGAAAATTTTCAATGCTGAGATGCCAAAGACACCTAAGACACTTGTTGAGCAGAGTGAAAAGGTAAAATCCAGTTTAAATTTATAGCATTCCTTCAGTGTCCCTCTAGGAGTTTGGCTTTTTGCCAGTGTTCCTTGTTAAAAATTTGTTAAACGTGTTTGGCATTAATGCAAACACAAAGTGCTCATTTGTTACAAATTCTATTGGAATGCATTCATTTAAGGCAATGAAGTAGTTACCAGAAAAGAAAAAATGTTCATTAAGTACATTTTAAAAATACAATGATGTATGCGGCGCATAACTATGGCGCCCCAGTGGCTATATAAATATCTGACAGAATAACCACAAGTTGTGTTTGGTTTGAAATTGGAATCTCTTAAACATAACCGATAGAACAAAAACTGGTTTTGTTTGTTGTCAAAACTGATGTTAGTCTTTCTTGTTTAGATCTAGTTGTAATAACCAAAGTTTTGCCATACAATTTTTTTACATCTCAAATCAATAAAGCCCACGGGTTAAAGTAATGCTCAAGGAAGTTTCTTGATTCAAAAGGTAAGTGCAGCACTGCACATTATCTGGAGAACACTGGACGCAGAAAGTAAACACCCTGCTTGGAGGAGAACAAATTTTAGTCATTCTTAAAAACTCCACTTAAGGAAATGTTACCTGGGAGATCTGCAACTGTCTGACAACACTCAGGTTCACCTCAGCAAAAGGTGCTCTGCTCTACTCCTTGCAGAAAACAAAGAGCTCAGACCTAGTTTACAACATCTCAATAACAAATCCCTTTTAATAATAATGTGAAATATCACTGGTAATGATAACTCTTGATATTGAATAAGCAATCCTATTGAGGTCTATTTCTTAGATGCTAGAAAATATCTTCTTAGCTACATTGTAAAACTAAAACCAATTTTCTCTATATTTTTTCAGTGATTTATAGCTACTTACAAAAAAAAAAAAGTTTTAAAATGATAAATACATAAATAAAACATATTCAAAAGAAAGATCCAGAAACTGTGTGACTTAATTAAATATTGAAAGGTTTACAAAAAACCACCAGTATAAAAAGTTATTTATAAAGACAGAATTAACTTTGCTCCAATTCTGGCAAAGAAATTATTTATCCCATTTGTTGCTATTTATGTTTTCAATTCATTACACAGTAAACTTCAGAAGGATCTGCAGCTGGTGGTGGAATCACTGCACGAATGTGATGAACTTTCCATATTGCTATAATGCCAGAATTGTTAATCTTAGTTAG